TATTTTAGTATTTATTTATTTATTAAGGTGACATGTGATATAGATATACAAATCACCCGGCCTCATGGGCCTACAAATCACCGAACTTTGTACATATATCAGAAAAAAAACTATGATTAAGGTTGAAAGTTATAACTAAGCAAACACTATCATTTATGGTACACTCAACTCTTGAGCCCATATTGTTGGAACCAGAATAATAGTTGGAGCTAGTTCTAATTGCTAGTGACCGAATGACGTCATTGAAATATGAGAACAGGTTTGTGTAACGTGTGTCTGTTTGATTAAAATTTGAAGAAAAAATGGTTAGAGAATTAAGATTTAAATTGCATATTTCTTTGCTGAACCTAGGAAGAGCTGAAACATAAAAAATATCATCATTGTATTCTTTATGTTTTCATATACAAGACATTTTTAAAATATAAAATCAAACTTTTTAGCGTAAATTAGGTGATTTTCAGTACACCAAGATGGTTTTCTTGTTGATAACACTGTCAAACTGCTCTTGATTAGCCAGTTGACAAATTGTCAGTTATGCCAAATCAAAATCATGATGCATATTACTCTTAAGCACACATAGCATTTAAAGGTTTTTTGGGGGGAAAAATTGCGAACGAACGTTCTTAAGTACAAGTTAATATGTTCAAAATTATCTGACCACGTGACACACAGTTTTGTCACAAACATTACAACCAAAAACCAGATACAATTTACATGTTAACAATTATTTTTAACTGTCAGTGTAACTATATTCACAACATTAATTATAAGTTTGGAAACTACACTAGGACAATATGTAGCAGGGGTAGGCCCTATGGACAATACAAATAATTTGGACATTCCCAACAAAAACCTGTGTATTTTTTCTATGGGTTATGATATTTCTATGAATGTAAATATATCTTATTTTGTATATTTCAAAAATATTTAGCACTGCGATGAAAATGTCATTGAAAATCATACTAAAATAAAGATATTATGTAATTTGGAAAATGGCGGAATTCGGATGAAAAATTATCAGCATAAATATGTTTCAGATAAATACAATAGTGGAATATCCTTCAGGAAAAGCAAAAAAATTCATCGAATAACTCTTATTTCTGGACATTTCCCCAGAGAGGTAATAGCAATGCGTAGTTCATACCATTCATACTTAATTCTCGTAACGAATTTGTCTCACAAAATGAGCAAAGTAAAATAAGTATTTTGTCATTTTTCAATATTATAACAGCAAGTCTTGGCATAGGCTGGTTTTGACAAGGACGACCAAATAAACAAAACTGACTTGTAAGGACCGACGAAGCACTTATAATAACTCCTCAACCCAGGGAAATCCAAGTTGCAGTTTCAGTGTTTTAAGTAAAATATATTAAGGAAGTAAATCATGGCCTAATTATAAAAAAATTTGTCAAAAGCAGTAATTTTTTTAATTAGTGGAATGTTAAAACTTCTCATGTGTTGCAGGGTAGGAAACTGGGTTCTCAATTCTGGTACAGTTTGCTATTAAGGTGAAATTCGAGTAAAAGTGTCTTGAAGCTAGAAATAATTACACCGAGAATATTAATCCGAAAAGAGCACATTTTCAGCCAAGAACAATATTGAAACGGATAGTGCACGATCCTCTGTACATTGTAACTATGCTGTGTGGGTTTTGAGTCGCCCCGTTGATTGCTTGAACAAATCTTAAAAGACTTAACAGTCAAAATGTACACGAAAGGAAACGGACACTTTTCTTGGGCTGACATGTAACTAATTTAATACTGTGAAAGATTGTACCATAGGGTTCGGAGAAGCCTTAACTCTATCAATGAAAATAAGCACTGGTCGTGACTCAAGTCTGTATTACCGAGAAATTGATTTTAAAATTAACCTTTGCCTCTAGCTGTTATCACAAATACATGTATTTTTCTGTTCTCGGAAAAAAGGCCTATCAAAAGACCACAATCCTATACAAATGTCTCCCAACAATGGGTTCAGCACTCGATTACTTCGTTATTCTGACATATTAGGTCCTCTTGATTCTCAGCATAATGGTGAGATGTTAGGGGTTCTTGCACCCATTTTCTATCTTTTCCTATAAAACGTCCCTCCACTATTTTGTCACTCTCCTGGATCAGAAAGTATCAACTACTCACGTTTGAAGGGAAAACCATGTCAGTTTGCGTACACGTAAGTATATGAATTGAAGCGCGGTGCTTAAACTAACATGTTTGAATTGATAGCTATAAAAATTTGTAAATAAAGTCCACATCCCGACAGCTGACCACAGTTCTGTCAGATAGCCAATGCTTGTCAGAAGTTTTACTTACTATAACCAACTGATGCCTTCTATAAGATAACCCGTTCTATTTCAGTCAGTGTGAACGCGCCCTGTTACAGTGAATCTCTGAGGATTTGCGTTCTGCAGAAGAAAAATTAACATCCCATCTGGCAGCATGGCGGATAACGCAATCTTATCGAACACTTGCTACTTATTATAATGGTGTTCCACAACACTAGTATTACGTCATGCCATATATCCTCTGTGTGCCACGTGCATATTGCGCAGCATTTTCATTAAAGCCCCATTATATTAATAAAAAATTGATACAGATACGTTTCCTCAGCCCACGCGCCCAAAAATAGAAACGAGAAAAGAATACTAAGATGAAACCGTTCGTTGGGACTGCATTCAATCTAAAATGACAAAGACGAGTATTTCATCAAATACCAAACGTAGAACCTCGTTCGTTCGGGACAAACTTGCCACATGGTGCGCTTTTATGTAACGTGGAATCTAGACACCCTGCACGGCTTATATTAGGCTGACTTGCGACCTAAATTACTGAATAGTGGTTTATTGATTGCATCACTGACAAACCGAACTGTCAGGCTTTGTTCGTTTTTTAAAGCCCTTGTATCGAATTTTTACAACTAACTCGGACACTCGAGTAAAATACTAAGAGGAGAGTATGTCCTAAAACAGCTCGCTGAATAAAAATGATTGAATAAATAAATAAACAAACAAAAAATAAATAAATAAATAAATAAATAAATAAATAAATAAATATTTTATTTAAATAAATAAATAAATAAATAAATGAATAAAAACATTCGTCTTTCAACCCATCCAAATTTGGGGATTGAGATGGAGGTTGGAAACAGATTAAGGGAGGCTAGCAGGATGAGGAAGGGTGAAAAATTAACAAATTGTGCTATTCAGTCTTCTTTTGCTTTTCTGTAAACTTCTTATCCATGGGAAAAATGGCGATCAACCTTTAACTTTTTGCCTTCTCCGCGCAGGGGAAAAGAATCTATTGGATTTTAAACGTGTTCTACCTACGCATAATGTATGCTAAACATACTGTATAAAACAAAGGTTATTACTGCAGCATTTTCTAATGGAAATATTTAAAGGCATCGATGACAAAATTTTTATGTCTGTTAGAAGCAGAGTCATAATTGGTTTGAATTGAATCGGGGGCGGACCCAGGATTATTTAAAGGGGGGGGGTCCGCGATTGCGAAGCCCACCCCCTTCCCCCCTCCCCCCTGGCGTGTGGTTCGCTAAAGTGTCCTGAAAAAATTTGCTCTTTTAGAGGGCGAACGGTGCCATTTGGTACGGTTTAGAACTATGATTCAGCTAGTCAAAATCCTAATTTCAAGAGGGGACCATGGGTGTGATTTTTTTTTCAGAAATCGAAGGGGGGGGGGGTCAGGACCCCCCCCTGACAACCCCCTAAATCCGCCACTGCAAATAGCTTGCATTTGCAATGGTCACGTTTTTAGTGCTTCAATTGAAAAAAAAAGGATAAATAACGCAAATAAATAGATGAAAATGATAATAAAAACAAGAATAGGATGAAGAAAGAGAAAATCATTGAAATATGAGCTAATGTGAAGAGTAACAAAATGAGTTGTCAAAAATAATCAATACAGTTATGATTTTAATGCAGTATTTTTTTTTCCAATGAGTGACAAATGTGAAGTCGACATAGGGCATTTAGTTAAAGGTACCGAAAACACAATAAAAAATATGTAAATTAAGTATTTTTCACAAATAATTCGATCTTTATACCTTTAAAGGGCATCATAGGAGAGTGTTAAATTGAGAGATGGGTGTAAAGTCTGACAGCAAATTAGATTTAAAAAAACTAACGTCAAAGAAAAACGATGATTCAACTATTGTTTAATGACAGTTTTATCAGGAACTTAAAATGACATTTTGTTGGCAAGTATCGTAGTCAACAAATTAAAATATGTTTTTTCTGATAGGCAATGTCTTTATTATGTAATTTATGTCAAGCCTTTGTATATTTCGCACGTCTGACGCTTGCCTCTCCCTTACATTTTTTAACCAATGCCGTATTCTCTCTAGAAAAACCTAATAAAAAACGAGAAATGATTAAGTGTTTCAGTGAAAAGGTATGACGCACACTTGTCTTCTAAGTACTGCGATGGATAAGTATTAAACAGATTCATAAAATTAAAAGTAATTTGACGTTTTGTTAAAATCGTGATTTTTATTAATGTTTTCTAATTGACTATTATTCACTCACACCGCCAGGACGAAAAGTAAGGACATGAATAAAGATAAAGAAATGCTTATCATATTCGCTGAGCACAATCGACAATTAGGCCCTATTGTTTGATGAATCACACATACATGTAGCTCTATATGTTGATGACGGTCCTGCTGGTACTGAGTGCACTTTACTTTTCATATTTAAATAAGCCGACATTTACATAAGGTGAGGTCTCTTTTCTTAAAATATAGTTTTTATAAAATGAAATTATTCATTTCTCTCTTTTTATATTAATAGCTATTTATTTTAACTCATCTCATCAAAGGTGGAAGGGGTTGCCATGCTTAACAAATAAGTAAAAATAAATGAAAATAAATAAATAATGAAGGTATAAGAGGAGCTAAAACCTGAAAAGCATATACATTTACCATATTATGTTAATCATTGGCCAGTGCGATTGAGAACACATAATATATGTCGAGCTCTTTTCGAATAGAGACCCGAATCACTGTCAAGATGGCTGCCTTGGCAAGGTCATTTTCTCTACGGGTAAGAAAAACTACGATATTTATGATAATATTCGTTGGTTGTGTTATAATGCTCGATCTATGCCACACTGGATTAAAAACACGTAAGATATTTCAAACTTAAAATGATGCGTTATTGAAAAGTGTCCCAGTACGTACTCTGTTGCTGAACTGTTTATACTAAGTCTGAGTTGTTTACCGTCCTTCGTCTGACCTTTAAAGTTGTAGTTGACGCGGTATCAGAATTACTTTATCTTCAAATCTTACAGCTAAACTGAGACCTCCGGATATTCCTCCTTCCATTTCCAGGTTTGAGGTACAAAACTCCAGATTAAGAAATATTCCATCTTAGGTTTGAGTATTAAATTTCATTATTTTTTCAGTCCTGAAGCTTAGATTTCACTCAACTTGCATTCTAGCAGAAGCAGCTCTGCAAAAATCAAGTGGCAAAATTATTGAAGCCATCGAACCGTGTCTTTATGGGAAGGGGGTGCCCCACCCTTCCACCTAACTATCATTGATTGGTTCACAAAATATATTATAGGTTTTCTCAGCCTGGCATCCGTGCATTACAGTATACATATACATGTAACAAAATGGAATATATCATATGAATACTATTTGTAATACCCATAAACTGTAAGGTAGACCCATTGAATGAATATTATATATGCATATTAAAAAACATAAGTATACATCATGTTATTTGATGCCATTTGCAGAAAGTGTTTACTGATCGCATTGGAGACATACTGCATGTGAGTCCCCAGACTCGGATAAACCTTGTCAGCCATATCTGTTGACCATATCAAATCTAGAAACAAATTAAACAAAGCTTTCTTTTGTTTTTCCATGTAAACTGGTTAAAATTTGGAGTAAAAAGGGCTGTGCATTATATTCACCAGTATCACATAGATGAGTCTTTGAGATTAGGGTACACTTGCTGAAGTCTTAAGGAACTTTCAACCTGTACTTATGGTAATGACTTGATCTTTTCAGTAGGGGACAACTGTGAATTTTACAGATACTGTATTTTTATAAGTCATAATTTCTTAAATTTTGAACATTCCTATAGAGTGGTAGCAACACAAATGATATATAAAAAAATAATTTTCATATTTCTAAAATTATGTATCAGAAAGATTGGTACATTTTGCCCACTGAAAAGATCAAAGTTATTATTGTACTCGTAAAATACATAAGGACAAATGTATCTCTGTACAAAAAATTGAATTTTGGTCTAGGTATGGTTCAGTGAATTTTCTTTTTATAGGTATGCCGCAGTCTTCTTCAAGTTAATGCACCATCAGTGCCAGTATGTTCAGCAAAGATGTCTGGAAAGGTACTGATCTTTTATTTTTCTTTTTATATGAAACAAACTAATATTTGAATGATCAATTGTTGTAATTATCTGTGATCAAAAATATGTGTTTCGACTTTGGTAGCTAAGTTTATTTTAGAAAGATTCATTGTAACAACAGAAACCTCCTATTTTTGAAACCTGTTTTAAGATTTTAGAAAATTGTTCATCCTTGATCTTAGGTCCACTTTTGCACCAATGAACTTTTGGACCAGTGAACTCCAAATCCAGACAAAAAGCCTTAAGACTATTTAATCTCTGGGTGTTTATTTATCAGCTGATTTATATGTTTGTTTATTTATTCGTTTTTTTTTTTTTAGAAATAATTCAAGTTTCCATTTTTTTGGTTTTTTGAATTTTTAAACTCCTTCCTTTGGACATGCTCATTTTAAATTTTTGTGTAATAAAGAAAACAGTATTATTGATAATATTGATATATGTTTATATAAAGAAAACACAAACACGCACGCACACAGAAGATCTTTTTTGTTAACACTAGTCTTTTACAGTTTAATCTGGAAAGTTATAACTGATGTTAATTTCTGATAAGACTTGATAGATTTCATAAATATAAAATGTATTTTAATATTCAGGTCCCTGACAGACTGTGGAAGCTTGGGAAACTGAATCATGTTGCCATTGCCGTCCCAGACCTAGATAAAGCTACAGCATTGTACAGAGATGTCCTTGGAGCTGAAGTCAGTGGAGTGCAGGTATGGTTAAAAGATTTCTTATGCACAGTCATAACTATACACAAGCATACACATGTACACATAAATAGTTACACAATTGCATTTCCTATTTTCATTTCAGATCAATAATTTTTTCAGCTTTTCCTGTTTCATTTGAGATTTATCTTTCTCAGTGTGATATTTATTGATAAATTTGTCTTAAAGATATATTATTATTGTTGTTATTATTATTATTATTATTATTATATATACTGACACAGTTTTTGTCTGTATATATTCTGATCACTATGTCTGCATGTGTCATCACTGTAACAGTTGCTATCACTGTGGTGGTCGGATAAATCTTTTGTTCATCCTACAACTGCCATACAGCATTTTTGTTTTACATTAAATTTACACAGTGACTTTGTATGATAAAATGAAATGCTTTTTAAAAATCAGCTGGCATGATCAGATTATTGTTATGAAAGTTATTATTTTTTTTACGTGTGTTTTGATGACATTTGCCCGAAAAGTGCAAACTGAAACAGAATTTTTGTATGATTTGCTGACTGGCTTTGTTTGTTGAAGGGTCCTTTAAAAAAATTTTAAGATCGGACAATTTTTACAAAATTTATTGTTTTTTTTTGCATACTTTAAGTGTGTTTTGGCAGCACTTAGCCCATAGTTGCCAGGCTGTATTTCTGTTCCACTTCAAATTTGCTGAGTGGCTATTTTTGGTAAAATGCATTTATTTTTGTGAAAAACCAGCATGATCAGATAATTAATTCTATGAATGTATTGATTTTTATGTTAAGTTTATTTGTATTTAGGCAACATTTCAATTTGCCTCTTAAGTGCCAAACAGTATTTTTGTGAAATGGAATGTCCATTAAAGAACTGATCCTGTACACATGGTTTAGATAGAGAACGTGGGTGAAACAGCAAGTTCAAATCAAAACAAGCAGCCATGTTTTGTTTATGAAGATAATTACTGTAAACATTGAAAAGTTGAACTTTTTTCAACGTATACTGGCCAAGAATGTTCCTAATTATGTTAAATTGGAGCAATATAGGAATTATGGTATTTTCTGTATTTGAGTAAATATTTGCCAGCTTAATTGTATGGTTGAAATTTTGTTATTCAAAAACCTTTTTCTTATTTTAGTGTCTCCCTGAACATGGAGTATACACAGTATTTGTTAATTTAGGAAATACAAAATTTGAGGTAAGTTTTCATAAAGCGTAAAGCTCTTTTTTTCTCTGTTCTCAGATTACCAGAATTGTCTTCCAAAATTATATTTGGTTCCATAAATTCCAAAATTAAATTTTTCAAAAGTTGGTATCATTATAATCTCATTATTATGCAATTTTACCATTAATAGAATAACATCTTTGTCTCTTCTGAAAATATTGTGTCCAAAAGAGTGATACAATTGTTGAAAGTATATGAAAATAATGGTGGTGGCAACTTGTAACTTATACCCTGGGTACTTTTCAACATTGTCACATGAAAGTCATCTGCTAATTATTATTCCAGCTACTACATCCTTATGGGGAAAAGTCTCCTATTCAAGGTTTTCTGGATAAAAACAAAGCAGGAGGAATGCATCATGTGTGCATTGAGGTAAGGGGGGGGGGTGTATTTTAGAATTTCATATTTTGTAAAACTTCAAGATTTGAACTTGCAGCTGATTTCAGTACTAATTCATTTATAAAGTTGTTGGTGTACCGCAAAGATGCCCAATTCAATAGCCAATGCAAGTGAAAAAAAAGTGGTATAAATTTGAAATAAGTCATAAATTTATAAAAATGTTCAAGTGTATTGTTTTGTAACTAATAAATTATATACATTCACTCAAATTTGGCATCTGCATTAATTTTACTGTCCATTTTTGTATGAAAGTCAGTGAACAGTGCATGAGCAGTATACATGAGATTGGTTACACTTACCGTACAGCTTATATTACTAAAATTATGAGGTTTCATCATAGGTCTTACGTGATGTACATTTGTAGTATTAACATGTGTATAGTAGGATTTTTAAAATATAAAACCAAATGCAGTGTTTTAATTTTAGAAAAGTTGAAAGAATGTTTCCAAATTAACATCTGTGTTCATTAAGATTTAAAATGCATGAAAGATATTGAATTTTCTGACCAACAAAAACTTTAACATAAGATGAGAAGTAGAAAAGGTTAGCTTGACATTTTTTTTCAAATAATATTTATACCATCTATGAATTGTGCTAACACAAACTGACAGCTGCTTCTGAGAACATACTGGCATAATGGCAACAGGATGACTGCTTTAATTAACGAAGCCACAAACTACCCACACTTGTCAAATCCAATTACAATCAAAATGTTGATAAAAAAATAATGGTTTCTAAGAGACATATTTCCTACGTTAGAGACATGACTGCTTTTAGAAACAATTTGTCTTTTATCATCATTATACAGATATATTGAAAAACCAATTTTACCAAATCAAAATGTTATTCGTATTGAACACAGTTAAATCAGGAGGGTAAAATAATATTTTACTTTTACAAGCAATACATTATGTCAAATTAACCCAATTTTTCATTATTTACCTCCCACCTGTCTTTTTCAGGTTGACAATATTCAAGATGCCATGAAGGACTTGAAGGCACACAATATCAGAGCTCTAAGTGAAGAGGCTAAGATTGGAGCCCATGGGAAACCTGTAGTGTTTCTTCACCCCAAGGACTGCAATGGAACCCTGGTGGAGCTGGAACAGGCGTAAAGCTTTAAGACCCAGGGACCTTTGACTTGAAGGAATACAGTTGCATGTATGAATTGTGGGCAGGCTTCTCCTTGGAAATTAGAATGATGCTTATTGGACATTCATTTTTCAGTGCAGAGGAGGACAAGGAAAGAGATGACTAATAGATGTGAACAAATATATTTTTGGTCACTCCTTGGAAAATAAAGAAATAAAACGGTAAAGCACAGGTGCTTGATATGTGGAGTGATGCTTTTTTTGGATATCCATATTGCAGTGCAAAGAGGAGGAGGCAGATGGAGACCTATAAATATAAACAAATATATTTCTCGTCTTCTGGAACAGTTATTTACTAGATACTGTTTTATGTGTATATTTATGTATACATGATGCTTACATAAGTTTATCTGTTGTTATTATTCCTGATGTCATCCATCCAGCTCCCCCACTGATTGGTTGAATTTTATCAGAAGAAAAAAACTGTGGAGATAAATTCATCATCTGTAAGGAAAAGTAGGGCACTACAGAGGTAGTTTGAGAAACTTCAGGGAGATGAAAAATTAAATAAAGACAGATTCACATTATGTAACCAGCGAAATGAGAAAAAATATGTAGGTTGTATTGTTTTTGATGTTGGAAGTTTGTTTCAATAATTGGTTTATTGGAATGTGTAGAGCATGCTAAGATGATAATGGAAAAGAAATCGACTGTCATACTAGATCTTACATTTGTAAACAGGATATTGTTTTGACTTTATCACAAGGCTTTCTTCAGGTAAACCGATGTTGAGTTTCCACTGGTGGTGACTTTATGTGTAGGATGAATCAGACAATTTACTTTTATGTGCAGAAAATGCATTTTATTTTTCAAAGAATTAAATGCAGAAGGTTTCTCTGATATTAAAATCATTATCATGTTTTACAAATGACACACTTGTATTTGTTAATTTTCTAAAAGCATGAACAAACAATTATTTGTGCAGCTATTATATTTTTTGTAATAAAATTTGCTTATTTTTATGTTTGGCAGATTGGCACTCGAAAAGTGTGAGTTTTTATGGTTACTCTCTTTAAAATATGGTAAAATATAAACATGTATTGTTTACTTGATTTTTCAGAATAAACCATGTTATGAACATTGTACCAAAAGAGTTTTCAATAGTTTTTTTTTGTTTTGTTTAAGTACAGTATGCACCTTAACAGTGAAAACAAATGGATGGTTTAAAAGGTATATTGTCTTAAATTTCATTCTCATTTATTACAAAAAGGCAAAAGGCCAATCTTATTTCAACTTCCTATTAAAATGAAGCAAGTTTTGCAGGTTATTAGCATTGCTTTGGAAAAGTATATTGCACTTTTAAACATTTAAACTTTTTAAATGTGAAAATAAAATTTGGATACAGTTAGTCAATGCATAATAGATATAAAATATGTTAGAAAAAAGTATAACAAGGCCTTCTTCTCTCCTTGAAATACATCAAGTTCGGTCTGTCTAGTACAGAATTCATTTTGATTTCATTGCTGTATAACTCCACAAACTGAAATTAAGTCATTTTCCATTTAAGCATAATGATGCTCAGAATTACTGGATCAAAATCACCCCGTCTGATTGTGATTTGAGTGCAATTGGTCTAATAAGTTTAAATTATCCTTTCACTTTGTTGATTAATTTTAATTCTTAATATTTTAACTGAACATTCCTTTTTTGTGAAGTTGGGACAGCCTTGCCAAAGATACAGAAACTAATAAAAAAACGTGCCTTTGACAAACACCTCAACAAAATTTTATTTCTAAAAAAAGCTTATCCTGAGCGTAAAAAAGATAACATATACTGTTAATTTTAAAAACAAAAGTTAATGAAAAACTCTCGAAGTGCGTGACAACTAATTTGCTGTCGGACAACACTTCATTAAAAGTGGTGGCATTGCGTTATTAAGAGGTACACCTGTATAACACGGCGCGCCACATCAGACGTCACTACAACTGGTCTACCTTGATCAAATCTTTGTTCTTAGTCGTGACTGATGAATGATATTCATAAATCAACAGGGACCATACTCGTACATAAAAACAGAAAATCGCGTCAATTGTCTCCGAATCATCTTATCGAACCTGAATTATTGCACGCTTTAACCACCCACCGCTGGTAGTCTGTCACACTATAATTTTATCTCCTATACTTTAATTTTGTATGCTATTATACAGGCACCTGATATCAGAGGGCATAATTCTTGTACGTGTGTCATCTAACGAGACAAGGCATCACCGTGCCGCGTCCTGCATATTAACTGCTATCTCCACATCAGACTGGAGATAATGTATTCAAATCTCGGCTTCAGCACAATGAATGTGTCTATTCACCGCACCATGGTAAAGTGAATGTCTATGCAAATATCTTGATGACACGAAAGGTGAAATGGTCTCTGAGTCAGCATGGGGTGGCACTGCGAAAATCGAAAAGAAATGTACACTAAAGTATGTTTTAAAAAATAATATTTTTGTGCATTACCGGGAATAAAATTAAGAAAAAAAAACTGAGGCATTTTTGAAAAGATACAATCTTACACAATAGCACTCCGGCCATTCGTTTCTTTGTTTTGTAGCGTAACGTGGTTTATCTTAAATCAGGATCCCAGCATATTTTAACTTAATTGAATTTAAAAGGCCTGGGACAACATTATAGAAAGTGGCCCTCCAGAAGAGAACGTCTTTTACTTCAGGCAACAACAAGATGGCGGCTTAAGGGAAAAATAAGTTTCCTTCTTTGTTTTTGTCGATCTGTGCGATTAACCATCAGTTTAAAGACACTTCAGCGATGTGGGGATCTAGTTTAATACTTTTAGCGTCCATTTTGGGACAGTTCAGTGAAATAAACGGCCAAGCAAGACCCCAGGACGTGTGCGTTCAGGGAGACGCGGTGAATGAAGGGAACTGCTACGCACCAAAATGCTACTGCAGTAATATGTTCAATTTCCCAAGGTGAGTTTCACTAGGATGGAGTTTTGTTTCTTTAGAAAAGTTTAACCATGTATGACAAAAATCTGTAAATCTCAACAATTATGGATATTGATAACACGACCACACGCACACAAGAACTTTTTTTTATATTTTTTCTGGTTTGGTCTGTATTTTGTCCTCAGTATTTATGAGTTAAAAAAAGCTAAATGTGTTTATGTGTATATCATCCTTTGTTTTTTAAAGTTTCGCAAACTTTAATCGCGGATGAAAAGCCGAAGCAGAGCAAGTAATATTTTCGTTCCTCTTGATTTAAATGAAGGCTACCTACATGTATCTGTCGATTTCAACGTACTAAATTACAAGTTAAATACGCCACTAGTCAAAATTCACTTTACTGCTGTAGTAGTAATGTGAACAATGGATTTTGTCAATTTTAAGTATTAGTAGGCTTTCTAGCTATATATACATCTTCACAGGTACAAGCCATTTGTAACAAAAATATATAGTATTAGAATCCATTTAAGCAAATAAACACTGCGGCTACTCCGCACTAATACTTTGCGTAAATAATATCATCTTAAACAGCAGCGTCAGTTTTCTGGAAAAACGGTTGATATTCTTTGTTGTATTGAGAATTATTCGACACATAAAGTTTAAAAACTACTAGCACATGTAGTACGTAAAACTAACATGTAGTATAGTGGTATGTATTCAGCCATCTAAAAACAAAACCAAATTTTCCAATAAAACACAAAGTTCAAACATATTTTTTTCGTCAAGATAATTGGTTAGTAATAATTATCGCTCCTATATGGTAATTGTGAAGTTTTAAGTGTAGACATTATTAAATGGCTGTGGCCCACATATAGCCACACACTGTTTTGGTTGTTAATGTCATAATGGCGGGGATCATGCAACCGTGTCAGGTAGATACAGTGAGATGCACTGTCTCGTTTATAGACCGAGAAAAATTTCCGCAAACATCACGGCTCAAGAAAAATGACAAAAGGGGCATTTACAGAGATGAATAATACATTATGATATAACATATACAGTGTAGTACATGCATATAACGAATTGCTTCATCACCCGAGCCCTCTCTCTCTCACACACACACACACGCGCGCGCGCGCACGTTGATCCACACGATTCAGAAATTTTGCTAAACGGTTAAAAGTGTTTGGCAAAAGTAAATGTCAATGTGATACGCTTTTCAATTCCAACACTTACTTGTACTGTGCCTTACAAAGCTTTCGATAACTACCGTGACCTTCCTCAGTGTGTGTTACTGTGAGATTGAGCACTATTCACTAAGGTCTCAGTAATAATTGGTGTCTCCCTGTTCAGGCTTGGTTTGTGGGTACCCTCTACCAGGCGCCACAGATTGATTTTTCACTAGATATTAACAGATATTTCTCTGGTTAAATAAATGGCTAATCTCTGTACTGTGTCACCTCAGCGAAAATATCCACAAAAAAAAAAAAAAAAAAAAAAAAAAAAAAAAAAAAAAAAAAAAAAAAAAAAAAAAAAAAAAAAAAAAAAAAAAAAAAAAAAAAAAAAAAAAAAAAAAAAAAAAAAAAANTTAGTGAAATAAACGGCCAAGCAAGGCCCCAGGACGTGTGCGTTCAGGGAGACGCGGTGAATGAAGGGAACTGCTACGCACCAAAATGTTACTGCAGTAATATGTTCAATTTCCCAAGGTGAGTTTCACAAAGATGGGGTTTTGTTTCTTTAGAAAAGTTTAACTATGTATGAAAAAAATCTGTAAATCACAATAGATATGAATATTGATAACATGACCACACGCACACAAGAACCTTTTTTATACTTTTTTTGGTTTGGTCTGTATTTTGTCCTCAGTATTTATGAGTTAAAAAGCTAATTGTGTTCATGTGTATATCACCCTTTGTTTTTTTTTAAGTTTCGCAAACTTAAATCGCGAATGAAAAGCTGAAGCAGAGCAAGTAATATTTAAGTTCCTCTTGATTTAAATGTAGGCTACCTATCTGTCGATTTCAACGTACTGAATTACAAGTTAAATACGCCACTAGTCAAAATTCATTTTACTACTGTAGTAGTAATGTGAATAATGGATTTTGTCAGTTTTAAGTATTAGTAGGCTTCCTAGCTATATATACATCTTCACAGGTACAAGTCATTTGCAACTAAAATAGAATCCATTTAAACAAATAAGCACTGTGGCTACTCTGTACTAATACTTTGCGTAAATGTTATTATCTTAAACAGGAGCGTCAGTGTTCTTGAAAAACGGTTGATATTCTTTGTTGTATTGAGAAGAATTAAAAAAAAGTTTAAAAACATAAAAAAGTTTAAAAACTACTGGTACATGTAGTACGTAAAACTAACATGTAGTATTCACCCATCTAAATACCAAACCAAATTTTCCAATAAAACACAAAGTTCAAACATTTTTTTCGTCAAGATAATTGGTTAGTAATAATTATCGCTCCTATATGGTAATTGTGAAGTTTTAAGTGTAGACATTATTAAATGGCTGTGGCCCACATATAGCCACCCACTGTTTTGGTTGTTAATGTCATAATGGCGGGGATCATGCAACCGTGTCAGGTAGATACAATGAGATGCACTGTCTCGTTTATAGACCGAGAAAAATTTCCGCAAACATCACGGCTCAAGAAAAATGACAAAAGGGGCATTTACAGAGATGAATAATACATTATGATATAACATATACAGTGTAGTACATGCATATTACGAATTGCTTAATCACCCCCAGCCCTCTCTCTCTCTCACACACACACACACGCGCGCGCGCGCACGTTGATCCACACGATTCAGAAATTTTGCTAAACGGTTAAAAGTATTTGGCAAAAGTAAATGTCAACGTGACATGCTTTTCAATTTCAACACTTACTTGTACTGTGCCTTACAAAGCTTTCGATAACTACCGTGACCTTCCTCAGTGTGTTACTGTGAGATTGAGCACTATTCACTAGTGTCTCAGTAATAATTGGTGTCTCCCTGTTCAGGCTTGGTTTGTGGGTACCCTCTACCAGGCGCCACAGATTGATTTTTCACTACATATTAACAGATATTTCTCTGGTTAAATAGATGGCTAATCTCTGTACTGTGTCACCTTAGCGAAAATATCCACAAAATAAAACGGATGTAGATTGCTTCCTTAACCCCCCTCTCGTACCATGATGACATGACATAATCAAAAGACTACACAGATGGATTTCCATCAAAATAAAAACCCATGTTTGAAATAGCAAAGGAAAAGATAAAAATAAATAAATGAATAAATAATTTTTTCCAGTTTCATTTTTTTTTTTCAGTTTCAAATTGATTAAAAGAATTGAGGAGATATGTGTCTTTTAAGTTGTTTGATATTGGTGGATTGGTAGCCTTAGAGAACCAGGACATATCTAGTAATTACCCTTTGTTTTTATTTACAGGTCCATAGAAAAGGAAACAAAAGGCAAACAGAAGAATGTAGTGAAGTTCAGCAGCAAGGACGACATCCCTCAGATGGTAGCGTTCACATTCAACGACCCTGTTGACCAGGACACATACGAACCTTACATGGACCTTTTCTATGGCAAACAGAACCCCAACGGATGTCCCGTGTCTGTCACTATCTTCACGTCCGACAACAACACCGACTACTGTATGATTAACCAGCTGTACCGATACGGCTATGAGATCGCCAACAGCGGGAAATCCAGAAAATCAACCGTAAATTTCTGGCAACAAGGGTCTGGAGATGAGTTCCGACAGGAGCTTTCAGAACAGATCGAGCTCATACACGAGAAGGCCGAAATCCCTCGGACCGACATCCGCGGATGGAGAACACCGCTGCTTCAACCTGGCGGCGATAAGCTGTTCCGCATCCTTCACGGCAATAACTTCGTGAAATATGACGCCACAATTCTGGCTGGACCCCAGAGTTTGACTGATAATATTACCTGGCCATTCACCCTGGACTATCCCATTCAGTTCCCCTGTGGTATCCCACCCTGCCCAACACAGAGATACCCCGGCTTCTGGGTCGTCCCCGTCATCCGTATTCTGGACGTCAACGACTTGGTCTGTTCGTTCGCCCATCGCTGTATCTACCCGCCTCAGAACGAGGAAGAGACCTACGAGTTTCTGTGGAAAAATTTCGAGCACCACTACCGACTGAACCGCGCCCCCTTCATCATCAACTTGGAGGCCAACTGGTTCAATGAGAAGCTGTACGCTTTCGAGGCGGTAAAACGGTTCATTCAAGCTCTTCTTTCCCGCGATGATGTCTACCTCGTCAACACATGGCAGATAGTACAGTGGATGCAGGACCCGACCCCTCTAGGAAAGGATAACAAACTGATGAACAACTTCAAACCATGGAAGGAGAGAGGGTGCGAGTATCTCCCTAGAAAGATGAAGTGTACTATCAAGAGAAAATCGAAATCGTTTGTCGGCGAAATCAACTTGGCGCTTTGGCAGTGGCTCTTTATGGCTATTGTGTTAGCCATTCTTGTGCGTAAAGACTGGAATGCTAAAGATTAGAGTTTTTTATGTTGATTTCTATCTCAAATCGATATTTTTACCCCCTCCCTCACACACAGAAACGAACAACATTCAGTATGTCTATGATAATACAGCCGACAATGGACTTTTGGTTGTAACTGCTTACTGTACATGTAACTTTCTTAGCTTCAAAGAGTTAATTTAAACCAAGTTTTCCGACTTTTTTCCCCAAAATAAAGTTACAGGGACTTTGTTCTGTCTGTTTGCCCTTCTGTAAGTTTTTTCTCTTGATGTCGTTCCCACAACTGACCTCTCCAATGAAGAATACATCAAGCCATGCTTGAAAAAAAAATACATTGCTTTACTTCAATGCATTATGAATGTGTATATGAGTTTAAGTTGATGAGATAAATTATTAAGACATTACATATTGTAAGCAATATGAAGTTTGCAGAAGTTCGAAAAATTATCAACGTTTTTGTTATAAAGTTTTCTTTTTATCTGTTATGATTTTTTCAAGTTATCAAAATTAATGCAGTGACTACTTCGTGAACTCCATCAGATGTGAAGAAAGTGAGCAAAATTGCACATACTCGTAATTAGTTGGAAAAAAGCAGGGACTCAAACATTCACTATTGTGGTTACAAAAGTAAGCAAGATGATGTTCATGTACACAGTTTGTTGGCATTATTCCGTCATGAGCTGATTAATATTTTCTAGGATTTGATAAATAGCATGGTGGACCTAGTGAATGTGAATAAATTAAGGAAATAAATTAATCTTAAATAAATCAGGATTTTCTTTTTCATCTACTTAATACATAAATAGGTCACAAATGGGCTAAATTAAAAGTGATTAAATTTTGGTGACGATCCTATAATTAATTAGTTAATGGTTTTGATTAAAATTATTAGTAAATCATTTATCTATCTGTCTGCATGTTACATATGTAGCAGCATATTCAATAAGTCATAAAATTTTGATGGAATTTTCAGGATATTTCGGAAACGGGCTATCTGTGTGTGGTGATTAAATACTTACTTAATTACCTTATAAAAGATAATAATGAGATTTTAGCTTATTACACGATAAAATTTAAGTTATTTCAAAATAGTAATAATGAGAATTAACTAAGTTAGATCCTAATCAATTAATGAATGGATTAACTAACTTATAAATGAATAATGAAATTGAGTTGTTTTGGGGGAAGTCTGCACACCCTGAGTTTTTTTTTTTTTTTTTTTTCTGCATCATCCCGCACCGGTCATAATATATAATATAGCTTCTGAATATTCCCACTTAGATTGTGGAGGAAAGATAGTGTCTTTTCGAAATTATGGATAATTAGGAGGATAGCACTAGATTGAAAAATGTATACATAAGTTTCCCAGGGTGATTCTCTCTCTCTCTCTCTGTCCACTTGAGCAGTTTTAATTACTTGATTGGGAAAAACCATACACCGATACTTCACACCAAAATAACCGGAAGTTGTTTGCCCGTGTAGATGCCCCGTCTCTGTTAACAGTTGGACGACAGGTCTCTCACTCGCTAAGCCAGGGGAGCTTGTTGACTAGAGGTTAGTTTTGTCAACTGTGAGTGATGTAGAAAACGTAAATGTTAATGTCGATACAGGCTTTTACGTCTACGTTAAACTTTGAGCCATTCACTACTGTACATCACCGTCACATGTACATGTAGATATGATGTCTTATCAGTTTTTTTAACCACTTTAACACATAGAAATACATTCAGTGAAAGAGAAAAATGATGCATTTTTGATATACAAACTTATTTGTCAAAACAGAATGTCACTTAATGTGTAATTTTAAAATTTGTTCTTTGAACCTTAATTGTGATTGGTTCTCCGTACAATTCATGATCACTATGATCAATGTAACAGTCTCTGTACTTAAATCCAAATTTCTTTGCTCTTGAACTAATGTCAATTATAACCAAAATGAAACGGCAACTTTTGGAATTTAATATGAAAAATGGACAGTTATTTTTAAAAAAGTATTTAATCATTAATTAAAAATAAAAATGAATTAACCAGAGTTATCATATTGACTGTTACATATTGCTAGTATTCTGAGTATATATATATACAGTATACACACACACACACTGTATACTTGCTGATATGGGTAGAATGCAATATAGTGCAGTAAGCAGTCACATAATTTTCATTTTTTTCCTTTTAAGGATTGTATGCCAAGATGCTGCATGCAGTATCTTTTATTGGCCTAGTGCAGTCCCAGTTGGTTCGCCTAAGTCAAAGTAAACATGCACCAAAGAAGAGCTCTGGACTTCCAAAAGAAGGGGTCATCAAGTTTGATATCGATCACAGTGATGCCATCCTCACTGCAATTGAAAGGAGGAGCGCAGATAGAATAAAGCTTGTTCGGGATTTTCTTTATAATCTACACTTGGTTGGACAGTATTTGTCAGGGCCCTACCAGGGTCTTGGATTTGGAAATGTCAGCGAGTTGTTACCAGTACAAGACCAGGGGGAGGGCACTTTAAAGACATTCTGCATAACGGGAACCCAGACTGGTACAATTAAAGCTCTTGATTCTGGGAAACATTTTGCTGTGGTGACGGAGTATGATTTTGAGAAGTACAGAATCAAAGCTCATGGTTGCATCAAACCCAGCAGTGAAGCCATTACGCATGCTGCTATCTACGAGAGCAGTCCTCACATTCAGGCCATAATCCACGTCCATTCCCCAGTCCTGTGGCAGGCACTGTTATTATCACCAGATGATGAAGTATTGAAGACAGCCAAAGATGTGGAATATGGCTCATATGAACTAGCTCAAGCCATTCGCCAACTTATTAAGGAAAATCAAAAGCAGGGATGGTTTCTCACAGCAGGCCATGACGATGGGTTATTCTTTTATGGACCCAATCTAGTCAAAACTCTGGAATTAACTCTCCAGGTTTATAAAATTGTGTTTAAAGTATCACCTGTAGTTATTCAAAACATGAAACGCTTGGTGGCCCGCTTAGAGACTTGGAACAAGTAACTCGTTTTTCAGCCTGAATGTTGCAATATGCATTTAAACCATAGAACTGGTAACAATTAGATATGTATCAATTTTTCCTGCATAAAAGTAATTTGCATCAGGAAGTGGTTTGATTTCAAGTCCAGAATTGAAATTTTTCTTTATGAATTGCAGTCTTCTCTCTGATATGTACAAATTAATTAATTTATTACTGTATAGGAATTTTCAGTAATAATTTTAAATTAAAACACCATTTATGTGTTTATGCATGTAGTTATGAAAGTTTTTTTTTGTTATGGATTTTATAAAAAGGATTGTTATGCTGAGAAAAAATGTACGTGATTGCTCCACAATTCAATCTCTTTTTTAAACAAATATGGCTTTGCACAATTTCTGTGCACTGCAATTACCAAAAAATCAATAAAAGGGGAAAAGAAATAATGACTCAAAATTTTCTATTTTATACACGTATTTCTAACTTTATTTATAATTTGAAAAACAAAATGAATACACTGTATTTTTATCACAGATAAATTATCACAAAAAGTAAACCTTACTATATCTACTATGTATACTTTGAAACATTATTAAACATGCCACAAAAAGATCCATTATTACAAAAGTGTTTATGTATATAAAAAAAACTTACAAAATAACTAGTATATTCAAACAACTGGAATTCTAAATGATTATGGAATGTGCATATATGGCAAACAACAATATGTATCAAACTATGCTGCTACCATCACCAATTAAGGTAATGGTTTCAGATATGCTTATTTCTAACAGACCTACGCCCCCCTCAAAGGAACACTTAAAAAGAACTATCAATCACATAATGCTACAGAGATTTAAACCTCAAGGGACCAATTTATATATTTCCTAGTTCACATATATTTAACAAAGATCACAAGTAAATTGAAAAATATTATTGTTTTAGGTATAATCATGTTCTATAAAAATATCAGAGATTTAAACCTCAAGGGACCAATTTACATATATTTCCTAGTGCACATATATTTAACAAAGATCACAAGTAAATTGAAATATATTATTGTTTTAGGTATAATCATGTTCTATAAAAATATGTTTAGCAGAAAATTTTTAATGTGCAAACTGCTTTTGTTCAGGCCTCGAAAAAGAAGAATCTAAATAAACTCAAGATTCTAGGACAATTCCCCCCCTTGAAAATCCTACCCCCCCCCCCTCCCCAAGACAACACCCACCTCTGCAGGAAAGTGTTTTTGAATTATTTTTTTAGGGATTTATATTCTACTTGAAAGAAGACAAAAAAGAAATATAAACAAAAGTATTGGCTATCAATTACAAGTTTCATGAAGCTCACTTATGTGCTAAACAGACCTTAGAGGCAACCTTAAATTATAAGATGCTATATATGCAAATTTTGTAAATTTGCCATTAGGTGCCATTTTTTAATCAAACAAATACTACCATTTTATCTAAAAGTAAACAAATGTCACTTTATCTGCATTTCATTTGATGTTAGTTTTTCTTTTCTATCTGGTTAAGTAAATAATAATAATGAACTAGAAAAAGAAAACCAGATTTGAAAGTTGTTGCTTATTTACGTTAGGGGGTAGTGGTGAAACAATTAAAAATGACAGTTCATCAAAGAGCTACTTGGAAGAGTGAGATTACCTGTTTACCCCACCTCTAGCTGGAGATTCATTTTGATTAAAGGCATAATTTTTCTCAATATCACATTCTTTACTTTCAGAATGATATTCATTGCAGGAGATTGTGGTGGTGGGGTGGGGGGTGGGGGTGGGGGGGATTGTCTGGGGGGAATTGTCTTGATACCCAAACTCAGCTGTCTATATTGCACTTGTTACCAATAAGAATTCAATCATGCAACACTTAAATTTGTTTCTGCAGTGTCTGAAGATTCCATGCCAACTTCATTGCTATTCCTTAAGGTCTGGTATTCAGTGTCAACTTTGCTACGGTGTCTTGTTTTTTTCTTCTTGGACTTTCCTGGACTATGTATTGACTTTCCTGAAGCATCCTTGCTCTAGAAATGGATAATATTCTATTATTTAAAATTAAGGGACTAAAATTCTTGGAAATAATTAACTTCAATCTGTTATCTGATGGAACTTTTGTGGAACAGAAGAAATTGTGCTAAGTCAGATAAAATACCCTTTTCCACGTATATATTTCACAAGCTAACACTTCCACATATAAAACATAAAATTTAAACCAGTACAAAGAAATGAAACTCAAATTAAGAAATATGCCAAATTATATTAGGAAACTGTGAGAAAAACCTCTTCACTGAATCAGTAGCCAATGTATAGGGAAACACATTCTTTGAAAAGTCAAAATTGATAACACCATCCTTATCTGAAGTCTTAATTCTACAATTGTATTAAACCAGTGAAAATAAATTTGTCCAACCATGCCCATGCATTCACAAGTGAAAGGAATGTAGCAAAAAAACTTACACAGTACTTACCCCAGATTCACTATTGTCACTAACATGTGTCTTTTCCCCTTGTTCCTGAGATGCTTCTATTGCAGCCTTTTCTGCCATTTTTCTCCTCCAGGCCACATCAATAACATCACACAGAGAATGGAATTTCTCAGTGTTGGCTTCCAAGGTTTTCTTTTGCTTGAACCACTATTAATATTATAATAAAAAGAAAGTGAATCACATTTGAAATTTATGTGGGTGAGCAACTGAAGCCAAAAATTAAGAAGAATAATTTGATTACAAGAGTTGATACCAGTACATGAAAGACATATCGTATAATGCCAGAAGTTCAAAAATGGCATACATAAAATGTCAATTGTGTCAGAATATTGTTGAAATGTAATTATGACATCAAACAAAAAATTGAAACTGTAGCTAACAAACAAAATACAGAAGTATTTCTTTATGAAAATAAACCATAGAACAGAAAAAGAAAGTCCATACTTTTTTCACTACAATAATGCCCATGACCAAATGAATGATGACTACGCTGCCAGTCAAAACACACACTGATATTAGATCAAACAACCTGGCTGTTGTCTCGGTCAACAAGGAGGCCACTGCATTCTGAACCCCCACCAGAAACTGTATTGTCATACAACTGATGACATAAATATCCTGCAGGAAAAAATTTAAAAAAAGTCAAAATGCTGATAATTTGAATATCTTGCACAATAAAATATTTTTTCAGGTATGAACTGGTGTTTTTTATTTTTAATCTTTAAGTATGTTAAATGGCAGTTTGAGTTTAAAAAAAGCTTTTCCGTCTTAAACTCATCGTGTCAGACTCTCGATGTTATCAAAATACTAAAGAATCACTATTTATATCTAAACACTTAAGTTTTAATTGTTATAACAAGNGGGGATTGTCTGGGGGGAATTGTCTTGATACCCAAACTATGCTGTCTATATTGCACTTGTTACCAATAAGAATTCAATCATGCAACACTTAAATTTGTTTCTGCAGTGTCTGAAGATTCCATGCCAACTTCATTGCTATTCCTTAAGGTCTGGTATTCAGTGTCAACTTTGCTACGGTGTCTTGTTTTTTTCTTCTTTGACTTTCCTGGACTATGTATTGACTTTCCTGAAGCATCCTTGCTCTAGAAATGGATAATATTCTATTATTTAAAATTAAGGGACAAAAATTCTTGGAAATAATTAACTTCAATCTGTTATCTGATGGAACTTTGTGGGATAGAAGAGGTTGTGCTAAGTCAAATAAAATACCCTTTTCCACGTATATATTTCACAAGCTAACACTTCCACATATAAAACATAAAATTTAAACCAGTACAAAGAAATGAAACTCAAATTACGAAATATGGCAAATTATATTAGGAAACTGTGAGAAAAACCTCTTCGGTAGCCAATGTATAGGGAAACACATTCTTTGAAAAGTCAAAATTGATAACACCATCCTTATCTGAAGTCTTAATTCTACAATTGTACTAAACAAGTGAAAATAAATTTGTCCAACCATGCCCATGCATTCACAAGTGAAAGGAATGTAGCAAAAAAACTTACACAGTACTTACCCCAGATTCACTATTGTCACTAACATGTGTCTTTTCCCCTTGTTCCTGAGATGCTTCCATTGCAGCCTTTTCTGCCATTTTTCTCCTCCAAGCCATATCAATAACATCACACAGAGAATGGAATTTCTCAGTGTTGGCTTCCAAGGTTTTCTTTTGCTTGAACCACTATTAATATTATAATAAAAAGAAAGTGCATCACATTTGAAATTTATGTGGGTGAGCAACTGAAGCCAAAAATTAAGAAGAATAATATGATTACAAGAGTTGATACCAGTACATGAAAGACATCATATAATGCCAGAAGTTCAAAAATGACATACATAAAATGTCAATTCTGTTAGAATATTGTTGAAAAGCAATTATGACATCAAACACAAAATTGAAAGCGAAGCTAACAAACAAAATACAGAAGTATTTCTTTATGAAAATAAACCATAGAATAAAAAAAGAAAGTCCATACTTTTGTCACTACAATAATGCCCATGACCAAATGAATGATGACTATGCTGCCAGTCAAAACACACACTGAGATAAGGTCAAATAGCCTGGCTGTTGTCTCAATCAACAAGGAGGCCACTGCATTCTGAACCCCCACCAGAAACTGTATTGTCATACAACTGATGACATAAATATCCTGCAGGAAAAAATAAAAAAAAAAGTCAAAATGCTGATAATTTGAATATTTTGCATAATAAAATATTTTTTCAGGTATGAACTGGTGTTTTTTATTTTTAATCTTTAAGTATGTTGAATGGCAGTTTGAGTTTTAAAAAAGCTTTTCCGTCTTAAACTCATCGTGTCAGACTGTCAATGTTATCAACTTACTAAAGTATCACTATTTATATCTAAACACTTTTAGTTTTCATTGTTATAAAAAGGACTTTCAGAATAATGTGACTTTACAAATATACAAAGTATTTGAAATGTATAATCTCCAAATCTTACCAAGTACGTGAGGTAAGAGACAGCTGGTAGCTGCTGTGACACCACAAACTTAAAGGCTACAGAGGTTAGAAGTAAGGTCAAAGTCACACCAAGCCTGTCGGCAGGAGCAGACGCCTCCACAGTGAATGAGGAAATGGTCAGCAACATGATACAAAACTGAATGAAAAATATATATTGATGTTATAGCTTAAGTTACAGGGGCTGGAAAGAGGCAATGAGGAACAAAAAAAAATACAGGTCAATGCTTAAAATTTTCATTGTTTGGCAAGCAATGCAAACAATCTATTAATATTGTATCTTCTTAGGCAACTTCATGTTTAACAACAGTGCAATAATTTAAAGTTATATATTAAAATCAATCAAAACTTTTTAATCTACTCAAAAATTTACTTTATTCTAAACTAAATATGCTTCACAACTGATATTTTACATACACTGATTGAGTAAAAGTTGCCATACTCACCATTACCAAAATAACATTCCACATATAAAATCCTGGTTTTCTTTTGACTTGAAGTGTGATGTTGTACAGTGGATATTGGTTGTGAGCAGCTGATTTCTCCTTCCAAGGTGTGACTGGTTCACAGATCAGGTGTGGATATAGTTTCCATTCCTGCTGCCCTGGAGAAAGAGGAATAAGTTGTTAGCAAAACTGTGCCATTAGGTGAATTCATAAGACAGTTTAACAAACAGTCAATGTGTCAAATTCAATTAATACATCTGAATGTTAAAACATCTTTATCAAAAGCACTTAATTCATAGTTTATATGTAAAGGTTGTTAGAATATTGTATTATTAATATTATTATTAATATTCAAAGTTACCATATCTACTGATAATGTCTTGGATTGACACAATAAAAACACTTATTTCTTTTGACATAAACTGATTGAAATTGTTACAAATGAAATGAACATAATAAAACAACAAACTGTGGTAATGGTGAATATAAAATCTGACTGTACTAAAAGATATATTTTGTTTTGCAAACCTGAAAACTGGTCTGTTCTTATTGCATCTTTAATGCTCATATCTTTCTCAAACTCTATTTGTTTGATGGGCCAATCTGATGACAATCGAATGGTTAGATCCTAGAAAGAATGAGAATATATTTTAAGAAAGATCAAATTATTAAATTAAAAAAAAAATACTTCCTACAACAGTACATAGAAATATTGTATAACTGTACAAAAATGCTGTGCTTTTTTTATTTTGTTGTTACTTTCTTTTTTAAAGAAGATATGCCATCAAAGATAACATATTATTCTTGATTTAATCATTTGGATAAAAAAATACAAATTTTCTCTTTGAGCATTCCTGATATAACATACCCTATATTGTGAGTGCTAGGGAAAACACACAGATGATTTTGGGTTGTAAGAAAAAAGTAAAAAAGAAACTGCATGATTACCTGGCTCGGTGGCCTTAAGGATGATTAATTAAAACAACTTGTATAACTTTGATGATGCATTTTGCAAAAAAATTGACTGGTTATTTAACAAAATTACAGCCTTGGAATCTCGCCATCCGGTTTCCTTCTTGCAATAAATCAACTTTGCATATGCCATAAAAAGACTGGCTCCATGCATTCTGGGTAGTACATGTATCAGTAACTGACCTGATGACTTCTACTGACCTGATGATCAAATGGAAACTCATTCAATTCCAGATTTTCCTTCAAAGTAACAGTCATACGCATACCTGTGATATAAAAAAATATATATACATATTTTTTTAAACCAAGTAATAAATGAAGTCTCATGTCACATAATTCAGTAAATTTTCCTCAACAATGTCTGCTTAGTATCTCCATATATATATTACACCAATATACCCAATACTGCTTAAAACTGGTGTGGCTTAACTTTCCTGCTGTATTACTTATTACAAATGTTAACAGAAATATCACATAACAAATCCAATGTAAATACTGACTGAACTCATTTACTTACTAAATCTGACCTCTGGTACGTCATCTGGTTCTTCATAAACCAAGAAGTGTTTTATTGTCTTCTTCAGTACAGCAACCTCATTCAGTAAAGTTATCCTTGGGTCCCAGGCTTGTGACCAGTCCACCTCCTGAAGTAACATTAAAGGGATTAAAACTCTTTACATGAGATTCAAATTCTACAATTAATACATTGTAAACAACACAAGGAAATGTAAAAAAAAATTGCATGGCAGTTAAATGTTCATCCCAGTATGGGCAGATGTTGGACCTTCATTGATTGTTACCCTCTATAATTATCTCTTAAGAGATTATTACTAAAACCAAACTCTTAAAAAAATCAATTTACTTTGAATGTCCAAAAACCAGGATTTATTAACCATTGGTAAGTATGGGGAAAATTGTCCTTTATGCCAGGAAAATTTGTCTTATGGCACTCACCCCGCAAAAATGAAGAATTGTCATCCCTATAAGCTATTAATACAATATTTTCAATATTATATCAAAACTTGGGAAAACTGCCACAGTGAACTGACTTCTGCTCCATACTTAGCCTGCTGTACTTACTTCAGGTAAATGTGAAACAGAAATTAGGTAACACACCAGGGCAATCTTCCAAAACTTTTTGCAATTAAAAAAGGCAATATCACTAACATTACCTCTTACTACAAATAATTACACATTAACATTAACATTGCTATGTTACCTCCTGCTTCTTTCCTTTTAGTGTAGGTTCTTTCCATATTGCTCTCAAGTATATGTCCACTGTAAATTCCTGTTTCACATTGTCTATGTCACCCACGGCAATGATGATGACCCTGATGCCTACTTTTACCTGAATATAAAAAGCACACATAATTTTGTTAACATTGGAATTATTACACAGCTAATTCCTTGCTCTTTTTGTCCCACCCCATAAATTCCATCAGATACAGTACATCATACATATTTAACAACATAAAAATCAAATGAAGTGTGCTTAATAGTGCGTGTGTGTGCATGTGTGTGTGTATGTGTGAAATAAAGGTAAAACAAAAAACTTAACTCTTTTGCAGTAATTTTCCCCCACCCTATAACTTTTATGTCAAAATTAAGTTATGTGGTGACTTTTCATCAATGTCTCTGCTATTCAAATGGATTAGTTTACTTACTAATTTTTGTGTATTTATTAAACATTCAAGCTCTTTGACCAATAGCATTACGGCAAATGGCCTCAGCTCTCATAATATCTGGATGGCATAAAGTTTCATATTTGAAAATTGTTAAATTAGTAAATTAATTACCCTACCAATCTATTTGAAAAGGGGAGACATTGTGATAAGTCATCACACAAATTAATTTAGAAAAGAAATAAAAATGAAAGAGTGGTGGTGGTGGAGAATTTTTTAAGTTTTACTTGATAGTTAGGACGTAGTTCCATGCGTTGTGGTTTTTTAAATAGTACAAAAGGAATGAAACTTCGGGCTCAGCCTGGGAGCCACCGGTCTGCCGCTAGGTGGCTTTTAACCAAACCGGAAGTTCAAGAATTTGAATTGGGTGAAATTTTTTGAGATTTGTAGGGTGTCAGAAACGGTGGAATATCTCGGCCTTTAAGGATATAAAAGTTTTGTTATGTATATTATCATTTTTAAAAGTAAATTACAAATCATGTCAGATGCTCCTCGAGTTGATTTAAACCATATTTTGTGGAGAAAAATGAGTTTGAAACCAAATATTTTACTTAAGCTACAGCGGAAGTTCAACTTTGACTCTAATGCTTGCATTCTTAGAGAACAGGTTCCAATTTCAAATTACCAGTAAGCTGTGGCAAATTTATTCAGCTTTCTGTAAATGTAAGCATGTAAGGAACTTTACCTTCATCCAGGAATGGCACAAATCAATTCACACCCGTGTATGCAAAAAATGTCTTCCTTGCAACAACCGTGTACCAGCCTCGTTTTGACTCAGTACATTCTGTTGGTATTCTGACCTCGTTTTGGTTTTTCCGCCGCTCATTATTGTCTATATAGTCAAATGAAGCTGGCACAGGAAGAATGGAGGAAAATAAACATTTCATATTTTTTCTTTATAAAGANCCTCATTCAGTAAAGTTATCCTTGGGTCCCAGGCTTGTGACCAGTCCACCTCCTGAAGTAACATTAAAGGGATTAAAACTCTTTACATGAGATTCAAATTCTACAATTAATACATTGTAAACAACACAAGGAAATGTAAAAAAAAATTGCATGGCAGTTAAATGTTCATCCCAGTATGGGCAGATGTTGGACCTTCATTGATTGTTACCCTCTATAATTATCTCTTAAGAGATTATTACTAAAACCAAACTCTTAAAAAAATCAATTTACTTTGAATGTCCAAAAACCAGGATTTATTAACCATTGGTAAGTATGGGGAAAATTTGTCTTATGGCACTTACCCCGCAAAAATGAAGAATTGTCATCCCTATAAGCTATTAATACAATATTTTCAATATTATATCAAAACTTGGGAAAACTGCCACAGTGAACTGACTTCTGCTCCATACTTAGCCTGCTGTACTTACTTCAGGTAAATGTGAAACAGAAATTAGGTACCACACCAGGGCAATCTTCCAAAACTTTTTGCAATTAAAAAAGGCAATATCACTAACATTACCTCTTACTACAAATAATTACACATTAACATTAACATTGCTATGTTACCTCCTGCTTCTTTCCTTTTAGTGTAGGTTCTTTCCATATTGCTCTCATATATATGTCCACTGTAAATTCCTGTTTCACATTGTCTATGTCACCCACGGCAATGATGATGACCCTGATGCCTACTTTTACCTGAATATAAAAAGCACACATAATTTTGTTAACATTGGAATTATTACACAGCTAATTCCTTGCTCTTTTTGTCCCACCCCATAAATTCCATCAGATACAGTTCATCATACATATTTAACAACATAAAAATCAAATGAAGTGTGCTTAATAGTGCGTGTGTGTGCATGTGTGTGTGTATGTGCGAAATAAAGGTAAAACAAAATACTTAACTCTTTTGCAGTAATTTTCCCCCACCCTATAACTTTTATGTCAAAATTAAGTTATGTGGTGACTTTTCATCAATGTCTCTGCTATTCAAATGGATTAGTTTACTTACTAATATTTGTATATTTATTAAACATTCAAGCTCTTTGACCAATAGCATTATGGCAAATGGCCTCAGCTCTCATAATATCTGGATGGCGTAAAGTTTCATATATGAAAATTGTTAAATTAGTAAATTAATTGCCCTACCAATCTTTTTCAAAAGGGGAGACATTGTGATAAGTCATCACACAAATTAATTTAGAAAAGAAATAAAAATGAAAGAGTGGTGGTGGTGGAGATTTTTTAAAGTTTTACTTGATAGTTAGCACGTAGTTCCATGCGTTGTGGTTTTTTAAATAGCACAAAAGGAATGAAACTTCGGGCTACTAAATACGAATACTATGGTACAAAGCATGGATTGAAGGCCTACAGTGAATGTACATGTACGTACCTTTTCACCACCAACATCTTCTCGCGAAAAATGGAATACTTCTTCCTGAGGTGTAGATTTGGTGTTACTTTGAATATCTTCTAGTAACTTTTCTATCCTTTCTAAGCGACCACAAACTTCATCTATGCGCTCTGTTTGATCCATAACGCCATTTACCTACTCAAATAAGATGCGAGTGTTTGTTTCTATGCGCCATGTTTGGTATCGGAAGTAAGAAAGCTGGTAATGCGCATGCTCTGTAAAATTAAGGGCATTCTCTACTTTCTGAACACTGGTAGTCTGTCACAAAATTATTGTATCGGTCTCTTCTTCAATTTTGCAACCCTCTTTGATTTCAGAGGTTAGTTTTGGAGAGTTATATTGATTTGATACACACTGTATTAGTCTGGATATACTCTTTTGAGGTGTCTGTCTGTCGCCGTCAACATATAGGCTACAATTAAGTAATTAGGCCCTATTTGTTTTACCTTGAGTGGCTTTGTATTTTAATACAGCCAGGTTCCTCTTGAAAACCAGCATGTTTGGAATATTTCTTACAAGCTATATTGATATACAGGTATATTCATTACAATATTTTAATATAACTTCAAATTTGTACAATGGTTTAAAACTTTTATTTAGGAAAAAAAGCAGGTTCCTTTCGAAAGTCAGCAAGATCAAAATATTTTTAATTTTTTTCTTTTTTATTCTAAAAATTATTGCTATATTCTTTGGTTTTTGGTGTTTGTATATATTATTTGCCAGCTTCGCTCTCAAGTTCTCGTGATCTTCATCATTTCCCCTTGTTTGGTTATTATCCTGTGTGTGTGTGCGTGTGTAGTGGTGGTTAAAAAAACACACATTTCATTTTTGTATACTTTGATAATTGTTTTTATCGAAAGATTTGATGAAATTCGTCATTTTTAGAGTAAGGCCTAGGGAATACTGGTACATTAGGCTGGTTTATCTTTGCGTTTAAGACCCTATATACCGGGAGGCCTACATGTGGTCTTAGGTTTAGTTACAACCATTGCTAAAAGATCGCGCAGCAATCGTCTTCACCTGTTGTTCGATTCAAAATGCTTTAAGAAGCACGGGAAGTTATTTTGGGTTAGAGTTCCACATAAATATATACTCAACATCAGATTTGAAAATGTGTGTGAATGGTGACGGATATCCAGAGTTTTATTCGGTCAAGACAGATGGGAAAGACCGCGTCACGTTACCCGGTGACAACTAGCACAGTAGTGGCAGTGTTCAGTGGCAGCTCCAGGGGAGGGCACGGAAGACATGTACTCCTCCCTTTACTTAGGACCTCCCCCCCCCCCCCC